TCCTGACTACCTTCCACCACGCTTTTCACAAACTTTACACAAACTTTTCACAAACTAGACCTCTAAGCATCGCTGGGCATTTAGAAAAAAATGGCCCAAATGAGGAAGTTTCACAGATCTAAACCAGAAGTTTAGAGTTCTCCTTTTTTTCAGTAGTGAGAGAAGAGAACTGTGAACGGTGGGGGTCTTTGTTGTTCTCTGAGCTGGGTGGTTTTCTCACAGGTGTTTTATGATCAAACTAGGTAACGGCATCAGTGTTGGAAGGGAGGGGAGTTTGTGGAGTAGAGGAGAAAGAGAAAGGGGAGGAAGACGACTGTGGGATCCTTGGTGGTCTCTGAGCTTGGTTGTTTCTTACAGACATTTTGCCCAACTCATCAGTGCTAGAAAGGGGGTCTTCTGACCGAGGCTTCCCCAAAAAAGCACGAAGCAGATTCCTGGTCCCGGGAAAACCCCTTTTATTAAACGAATATGAATTCCTCTCATTCACATTCAAGGAAGGCCTGGTGAACAGTCTTTCAAAGGTGGATTTATGACCACAGACCTTATCTATCTTGGAAAGCTGCCAGTCTTTCAAAGGTGGATTTATGACCACAGACCTTATCTATCTTGGAAAGCTGCCATGTAAAGCTTGCGGTGCTGTGCAAGGAGAGACTCGGCAGAGAGTCTCTGAGATTCACGGACAGATCTTCACACTCCTGAAACGAACAAAGGAGCAAATTGTCTCCTGCAAAAGCCCACTCCCCTTTCGCTCCTCTTTTATTTCCTATGGGAGGGGCCATTCACCTCCCACCTGTGGCTTTACTTCCAATCAACCCTGATTTCTTAGCTGTTTTTTTCTCTTAGCAGCTCTGCGCATGCACACACTGGGAACAGGCTCCAGTTGTTCTTCTGCCTCACTGCTGTCTAGCTCCGAAGGCAGCTGATAACTGTCAGACGGCCTTGGCCCCCCCCTCTGCCTCCAATGCAGAGCCTTCCCCAGCCTCCAGGACTGGCCCATGTTCCTCCCCAACCTCCTCACTATCCGACTCTGCTGCCAGGTTGACTGGCCTCCAGCAGGCCCCAACAGCGGTGTTTGCTCTCTGCGTTAGTCTGTTTGTTCAGAGAGCGAGCAAATCCCACTCTCTTCTCGTCCTGATGATGTTACCTAGTTGGGTAATGAAACGTCTGCAAGACAACAACCCAAGCTCTGTCTCTTTAGTAGCTTCTGCGGGTTTCCTTTAATATCTTCTCTCCCTGTAGCTCTGTTACCTGCACGTGGACCTCATCCTAAACCGCCTTGGGCCCAAGGAAGCCAAGAAGCAATTTGTGGATTTTTGCCATGTCTTCTTAGACAAAACTGGGGTGAGTAGAAGATCTGGGAAGATCTTTCGGAAAGAAAACTCCCACCCCAAATATTTGGATAATTGGTAATGAGGGGCAGATTCCTTTTGTTTACCTTCCAGATCAGGTTTACACCATTTGTTCTCGTTCCCCTGGTTCACAGGGTAGTAGGAACTTACAAAAGCTCCAGATAGTCTTCGTGATCGATCGTCGCTTTATTTTCAGTGACTGCATTCTTAATCTGCTTCTTGCATTCTCTTATCTCTTCGACAGCTGCTGAGAGTCCCTATACCAACTGTTGTGCAGTTTGAACTGGGTAAGAGCCAACTTTCATGACGTAATTTGTGCCATGATCTGGAGCAGAGTGTACAAATGGATCAGGTGTGAGCTGCAGAAATCCAGCACTGACCACCAGAGGGCAGCAAAACATCCAAGCTTTTTTTTAAAAAAATCGCTTTGCTGCCCTCTAGTGGTGATGTTGATTTTCACAGCTTCGATGAGATTGCCGTAAAGATTTGTGTAGCTTCTACCATTAGGAATATCAAGCCTTTCCTAACTGGATATTAGGGTTTTGGTTAGCCGTATTATCTGGGAGTTATGGAAGTTGCAATCTGAACACATCTGGAAGGGACATCAGGTCGGGGAAAACCGATGTAAGCTATTATTTGCATAAATTTCTCTTTGTTTGGTTCTGTGAGCCCAATTCTTTCCTCTGTAGAACATATTCTGGCAGCTGGGGGAAACTAATAATAATCTATGGGTGTTGTTTTGGCCAGAGTGACTCACGTAAAATCTGGTTTAAATTGTGAATGTAATTGAAAAAAATGGAAGTATTTCAATTCGGATATTTGAACAGAATTCTTAACTTGGATCAGTTTGATTTTGGCTTTCCGGATCGATTCAGGAACATGTATTCTTTCACCTCGTCGGTTCAGTTCACACTCAACACCATCAAGTGGACTCCGAAAACGATTTGGAGTTTTAAACAAATCGCCCTTAAATCTTCGAATCCAATATTGGCCGATCTTATTTTTTTCCCCCCTTCCTGCAAAACTGTGGAAAAAGCCACTGGATTTCAGAGGGTGTAATTGAATCGTGTTAATTATGGTTTTGTGAAGATTGTTTACATGGAAAGAGCAAAGTTTCAGCTCATTTGGAGGGACTTATTTCAGCCGCTTGGAGGGATGATGACTAGGGCAGTGTTTCTCAACCTTGGCAACTTGAAGATGTCCGGACTTCAACTCCCAGAATTCCCCAGCCAGCATTCGCTGGCTGGGGAATTCTGGGAGTT